TAGCTACCTGATCCGAATTTACTGACAAGTCCTGAGTGCTGAATAATATTTATCTTGAGAAGTTGAGGTAAAGTAGCCGATGTCTGGTGGTCAGTCTTTAGGGACGAAGGCACTTTTAACATCTGATAAAGAATTGGTCAGACTTTAGTGTATTTCAGTAGGATAATTACATGTTCTCCTTTATAGTCGTATAATCATCGTATCATTCTACATTGATATAGAACTTTTCATGTTGGCATACACAGAGATAGGGATAAAACTGAAGAATATAGCAGTACTATCAAAATGAATACTTTGGAGAGATCTTCAAAGCGTGATTCCGTTACCCACTACAGACAGAAGTATAATTAGGAACGTGAATGCTTGCACTGTTACGTGGACATACTTCAAGTAGAGATTTATTAATACTCTTGTTGCATATCTTTGGAATCCTTGGAAGTATAATTGACAGTTAGAGTAGTCAACCTTTTTCAGATATCATCAAGACTTTGGTGACTAATTAGTTAGCAAAACAATTTATAAATAACATTTGCTGATTATAATTATGAGCTGTACTTATCAAAAACTAGACTGAGTTGGTACAGTACAACATTTAGGCATTTGGATAGGCAAAAGATGATGTTTTCTTTGCTTGTTGGTAGCATTTACCCGGTTATTTGTAAACTATGAATATCTAATGGATGAAAAGTTTTTGTTGGGAATAACAGTGAATATCGGCAGTTGATTTTGATGAACGAGTTCAATGTTCATCGATACATTGTCTCTGCATAACGGAAAAATATAGTGTTTACCTACTTTTAAATACGGGTACCGATCATCAACAACGGCATATTTTATATGTATTAACGAGTAAATTCATAAACACTGACTAAGCTCTTAAACTAGATCTATTATGTGAGATTGTCTGAGCTGAATAGTGTGGTTAGTTTATGATACCAAAAAAACAGTTGCATCTGGAAGCCAAGTTGCAAATTATTTGACCACATGTTTCTATTCAGGAGACACTCAACAAGACTATAATGTATGGACAAACCAGTCAGATATAAGAAAACAGGTCTCAGGTTTTGGTGCGAAATTCACCCATCCATTTGGCTAAACAACATTTTGACATTTTGTAATGGAAACTTTAGACCTAATTTTTAACCGTAATCGACTGTTGTAAATCCCAATTCTAATTCCTCATACTGGTTTATAGTTATCATTCATTTCAAGTACATAAATGAATGTTTTCAAAGTCATTTTAACACTGCTCAAAGGTCGTCTATTAATTATAGTCTCACCACCTACATTAGGAGTGAGCAATTTTATTCATAATATGTGATTTATATCAATTGCGACGATCAATTCACCGAACTAAGATTGTTGCAATGGATAATCTAAATGAAGAGTTATGACCTAAACTCTTATCATGAGGTCTCACAACCTACTAACTATTTTGTTTCAATGAAGACTGAGTCGCTTGTAACATATTTCCAACAACTGATTGTTTAAACAATGTTAAAACCTTGTTTATTTGTTTATTTCAAGGCATTATGCTTTTACTTTAGCCAGTTAGGGAATTCAAACACTATTCAAATATCATTTTAAAGGCAGTTAAGAATATCTTTGTCCTTCGATATTAAGAAGAATAACTTTATTGACCTTGTCCGATGTAATAATTTGTCGACTGATCCCATTTGGGATAAGGTGGTGATTTATAGGTAGTCGACCCAGGTTTCATGTTATCTGACACTTGTCAGCAAAGTGTGCCTGTAATCGTGAGGGAGCTAATGGCCCCTGACGGACCTAACTCCTTGTCACCCAGCTTCACAGTAAGTCGATTACCTCCAACCATCACTTTATCTCAGTATAATGCAGGCAACATCAAGTCATCTAGATTAGTGGCCATATTATAATTTGGCCTATGGAATTCGATCTGCATTAAGAAGAACTTGATACAAATTATATTGGTCACTATCTAGTGATTAATCAATACCAGTGAAAGCCAGGAAACACATGATAACTTTTTCTACCTAGTATGGGGCTCTTCTGAAATGCGCACTTATGACCCCGTAGGCATAGAAACCAGGATCTCCAGTTTTCATAATGAGGTTATTATCTTAAGTCCATTGGTTTAGGGTCCTGTGGTCGGGATTTCCGAGTTCAATTGATTCATAATATGGCTTCACTGCTTATCCAACTGAACCCCGTAGACCACAACTTTTGAATGGAAAATTTGAAATTCTTCAAGAATTATGTTATCAGTAAGAACGTGATCATAGTTTTATGCCAGGAATGTTGAACAGTTCGAAATCATAACTCATAGATCAGGGAGATTGTTTACATTTGAAAAAAACAGAGAGAAATGAAAATCACACACTATTTATCGTCAATCAACAATAAGCATGATATGGATATTCTTAAGTCACCTTGAACAGTACTTATATTTGCTAGTCGACTTATATAAACTTTCCATAAGACTATAATTTATAGACGACCTTTGAGTGATGTTAAAATTACCTTTTGAATGTACATTCTACTTACTAAGACTGAACGAGAGTTATAAACCTGTGTGAAGAATAAGGATTATAATTTACAGTTGATGATTAAGGTAAGGAATTAGATTTAAAGATTTTCATCACGAACTGTCATCAATTAAAATGACCAAACTCTAAATGGCCAAATGGATGAACGAATTTTGCACCAAAATCCAAGATTTGATATCCGAAACCGGATTGGTTCGTTCATAAATTGTGGTCTTATCAGTCTTTCTCCTCAATTGTATTTTAATTGCAAAAATTGTCTACTCATGTTATTTCCTCCTCTTGATTGTTTAGGCTGAAGTTATTAACTTAAACAAATTACATTTTGCCCTGGTACGGCCGAAAGTAAGGAGAGTCCGCTCTCCCTCTTGAAATGCTCTCACATGGTTACGCATATATAGCCTCTGACAGGGAAGCCCTATTCACTGCCATCTCGCACCACGGGTGTTGAGAAGACGAAAAGCGAATGCCTGGCGCTTTCACCGAGTTGGTGGACATGGAGAGTCCACCTAGGAGAGTTGGAAAACCCTCATTCCAAACCAATGGTGCACATGAGCTTCAGTATCCTGCGGCGACAAATGGCGTATGAACCAATCGTTGGTCACCGGTTACCATGGGACTGCATCTCCTTACGATGCTCCACTGCCCTGTAGATCCGACCTTTAGGTTGGAGGCTCCGGGTGTGGTACCCTAAGAAAACCACCTGCTTCGGTTTAGGCACCCGGGCAGTATCACAGCCCCCACATAAATCAAATGTGATCTGTGTGGCGCATGTTTACTTGGTGCCCCCTTGTACCTTGTAGTTGAAGATCATGTAGGCACTAATAACTTGGTAGTATTTATCCTCCCAATATGATTATCCTTAAAACAGTAAATTCTGTTCTGTGAATATATAGTTGATTCCTTACTCTGAATCTGCCTTTGAATACTGTTATGTCTTTGTCAATGTGGTATCCAGACACACTGTTCTGTATGTACATATAATAGCAGACCATATTATCTTTCCTATGTCAAAATGGATTCAAAGATGAGATAAAAAAAATTTTTGTATAATAAATAGGATTATGAACGGCGTAAGGTTCTTGTTAAAGACTTTAGTCATCTCACACTTGTCTACTGAAATATCCCGTTAACTTCACTTGGTATTGTTGGCTTGTATCTTCCCATTGTCGTTGAGGACTGCAATTGATCAGTCTCTTGTCGGCATATGTTCATTCTGTGCGGACTGCCTCAATATTTCTTTAATTCACAAGAATTGTAAGCAATGACAAATGGTGACTAACAGTGGAACCCAGGACATGAGTTTCGTCTTATTAGGGTCTCATCAGTTGGATGTACCTGCATCTCAAAGTTGATGTTCACTCTAGGACAAACAATACCAAGTGAATTTACACTTCACATCATTGCACAAGCAAGTGGCTATCCAAGCCCAGTAACTAAGTGAATAACGCGATGGCGTTTGAAGCGAACCGTACTGGTAAGGAGTCCCAGAGTGGACATCCAGCTGACGAGTTCTGACTAGGATGAAGCACGCCTGCTGAATTCCACTACTAGCCACTAACCATCTTTGCTTATATCCTGCTAACTGTTTATATAAGTCATTACTATCAGACTGACCGAACAAGACGTAAATGTTATGTTTTGTAGAGAATGAACATAGTATATCAGGCAACATAAACCATTCTAGGAAAAAATAACAACGATTTAATTAAATCCACCGTCATTTTACTTTTTATGGATTATCACAACTCAAAATGAAAGTGTAGAAAGATTCTTATCCTAGAATTCTTTTCAAAAACAAAAAAAGAAAAGAAGTCATCAACGAAATAACGAAATACAATATTCCCTAATGATAACCATGCAATATATATTCTTACAAGAAACGTTTTAATAGAAAGAAACAAGGTACTTATTTATTAGTCAGTAGTATAACTAAATAAATATAATTTTCAAATGAATTGTCTTATGCTTAGGGTTTATGGGAAGAAAATAATGATTTATTTTTTGTAGGAAAACATTATTATTTTTTTCCAATGAAAATTGATTTTCAGAAAAAGAAAGAAAGAAAGAAACTTTCCTATGATTATCATTATTATTATAAAAGAGTGATTCATTGTAGCCATTCTTGGCTTAGTATTTGATGTTTGTTTTTTTGTCTTTGGTTCGTATTCAAACCATGAAAATTATGACTAGTATGTGTAATTTTAAAAGAAGAAAAAAGACTTCCATTTCTCTTAGAGATTAAATTTTGTAAATAAAAGATAAACATTTAAATAGAACATTATTTTGATTGTTTGAGAAGTTTTCCACTCTCTCCCTTTCTCCCTCTCTCCTCATTCACCCCCCTCTCTTCTCTTCCTCCACACCCCTATCACTCACTCACACGCACACACACTCTCTCTCTTTTGTCATGAAACTTTATCAATATCCATTTTAATAAATAAATTGAACATTGAATCTCTCTGTCTCTCTCATTTATTAAAATGAATTAATTTTATTCTCTGATGAATCCATTGAAATTTTTCCACTTCCTGAACCAGCTCCACTATCTGATTGTGAATTTAATGTATCACTAAGAGTTGATAAATGAGTTAAAATTTGTTCATTATGAACTGATTGATTATTAGTAGTATTAGTAGTATAATTTAATTTATTCATTAATGTAATTAATTGTGATTGTGATGATCCTATTGGTTGTATACGATTGATATTTGGTGTTAATTGATTAGTATAATTATTGATTAATGGATTTATTGAATCTATAGGTATGATATAATTCGATGGATTCATAGATGAATTTGTTAAGGGCATTATATTGTTTAATATGATATGATTATCATTATTATGTCTATTCATTATAGGTGATTCACAATTCATTGCATTTGATGGATTGATGTTAATATCTGATAAAATACTTGAATCTGGTTGACCAATACTACCAAAACATGAATTCATACCATCGGAACCAAGTTGATTCATTGTAACCGTATCTATATTACTATTATTATTAGTAGTAGTATTAGTCGTATTAGTATTATTTAAGTGATTTTGTAATTCTTTAAAATGTTGTTGATGTTGTAAATAGAAATTAGTAACAGCTTCGGTAATTTGTTGTTGAGATGAATGATGTGAAGCGAGAGAATTACCACCATTACGTTGGATACTAGTTATGGATCGACGATGAGCTTCAATATTACTATTACTATTATTATGATGTGTCCATGATATTGGAAATTGACCGGGTACAATAGAGAATGCCGATATAGATTGTCTATTGCCTGATTTACCATCTGGTAAATATCTTAAATGGATATCACTTGATAAACCATTTGATGATTGATTATCATTCAATAAAAATCCAGGACAATTTAAACCAGTTAAATATTCTGATCCATAATCAATAGATGGTTGATATGATTCATAACCATTAGATTGTGATTGAATTTTATTCATTAATAATAGACTGCTTCCTTTTTTATTCATCTTATGACCATCATGAAGTAATGTACCTAAATGTTGTTGTTGTTGTTGTTGTTCATATCCTACTTTATCACGATAATTAAAACCTTTCCCATTGATTTGTTTCACAATACGTGCATTGCGTATTTCTTCAGCCATACAAAATAAATGTTGCATATGTGGTCGATCTTTTGATTCTGAAATATAACAAAAAAAACAAAGTGAATGTGTGTACTTTTATTGGAGATCTTAGATCCCCAGAAGTCACTTGGGAAAGAACCTAAGTTTGTAATTTTATTTAGAACATTTGAATTTATTTGTTGTCACCATCATGTCGTGTTTCCCACTGGGAAGTATCTCAAATGTTATAGGTCCGTTGCATCTTTTAGTATGCTATTTGATAACTCTCCCCAAGGACAGTTTTGTACTGTATACATGTATACGTTTTGAATTGTGTTTGTTGTTATCGCTCATTTCTGTCGGTTTGCAAAATATACTTCCATATTCCAAGCTTGGACTTTTCCCTCTAGTTAGCGGGGCTGGAACGCATCAAATAGCTAGCTTATTGGTCTTTGGTCACTGAGTCTTTGTTCTCGTTTGCAGATTAAGTGAACTCGTGATAGCTTCAAACCTAGCAAGTTTGGATAGACAAATGAACGATCTAATAGGCAGATCTGAAACCGTTGTTAGTTACAAATGTTACCTGATAATATTTAAGAAGGTAAATGGTTCAGATCAATAACGATGGTTACTGTTTATATTAATGGAGCAAAATATTATCGTTACATAATTTTGTTATATCTACAGATTAGTTTCTTAATATACCGCTTATGACTTAAGCATTCGAATGGGGTAACCCTCACAAGTCATAAAGAAGAAAGATAGAAGATTAGAGAAATTGATTGTTGAGCAAGAATTAAAATGTATAGAGATTTATAGGTATTTATAGATATAAGCATTTGTGGCGAGACTCTAATTTAGGAACGACCTTTGAACGAATCTTAAATGACCTTGACAATTATTAGCCAATCAGGAGACAGTTAGTATAGAGTGAAAATATATTATAAGAAAGTAATGTATTACAATGGATAGTCTTCTTTGACATGATTTAAAAACTTGTAGAGGTTCGATAACGGTTCAGAAGTCCTGAAATCATAATACATGCGGTATAAAAACTCGTCCATGTGGCTCCATAACAGTCGTCCTCTAGAGCCGTGGTATGGTCTTAAAAATTTTTTCAGTCTCGACCACATAGCTTCAATGTTATTATTATGTACGCCGGTTGTAGGATCGACGAAATGGCGCTTGTGCACTACAACATGATGCACATATCCAAGTCTATGTAGGCACCTATATATTGTTGTGCCCAGTTGTACGTGTTCCTGTATAATTGGTATGATTGTGTTCGTTTGCAGGTTTCTGACTTTCTGAAAATGTCCCTTTTGTGTTGATCGGTCATAAATTCCAAGTACCTGTCAAGTATATTTACGGAAATGCTACTTACCCATTCTTCCTTGATACTACGTCCCCTATTGTATTTTCGCTTTCTTACTACCGGTTCATCTATCTCCACAATGCATCCTACTCCTCCGAATGATAGGCGTAGACGTGTCATTTTACTTGCACGTAATTCACGGCAGTACTCATACTACTGGACTGCTGAAGTTTCAGTAACATCTGCAAACGCCGCAGCCAGTGTTACTGGTGTCTTTATTACCCAATTTGCCACTATTATCATGATCTGCCTTAGTGTCAGACGCGATCGAGCGAAGAAAGTCCCCGTTCGAGCAGACTTTTTTTCCAACATGAGGGACAACGAAACACAATCTCACCACGGTGTTCTGGACACTTGGCTGCAGTCATCTGACAACCGCATTCGCACGTACAAGTACTTCTCAATGGTCCCATCTCTTGTAGCCTCTCATTAATAACCTCTTCTCTAAAATCCGCTGTAAAGCGATCGTATGTCAGCATCAGGTGTTGAACTTGGCTCCGTGACCGTGAAATTGCTCAAACGCTTATGATTGGCTCGTCCTTAAATTAGAGTCTCGCCGCATTTGTTAAATCAACATTATGATTCAATCAATCCACAAAAGGCATATTATGATACTGACAAATTGTAACATGCCACGTTAGTATTCTACAAAGCTCCATTACGTTCTCATTGGGTGGAACTCTTTGACTTTTCTAGAGCCTCTTGAGGCTTCGTCATAGTTCATGGGAACCGTATCATCAAATTCTTTCTTTTTGTCATTTCCAATCACAAGTCCATATCCATTAACATATCAAAAATCAGTTAATCTCCTATAATTGTAGGTTATATGTGGCGAATTGTACAGGATTTTCTGATGAGTCTTACTAATTGAACGCTAGATTTGAGTTCCTAAGCTCTTCTAGTAGTCCTCAGGTTAAATCTTCACTTTTGATTGATGATACATACTTTAACATACATATGAGCCACACAGATCTCATTTGGTATGTGTGAGGGCTGTGATACTGCCCGGGTGCCTAAACCGAAGCAGGTGGTTTTCTTAGGGTACAACACTCGGAGCCTCCAACCTAAAGGTCGGATCTACAAGGCAGTGGAGCATCGTAAGGAGATGCAGTCCCATGGTAACCGGTGACCAACGATTGGTTCATACGCCGTTAGTTCCCGCAGGATACTGAAGCCCATGTGCACCATTGGTTTGGAATGAGAATTTTCTAACTCTCCTAGGTGGACTCTCCATGCCATCAACTCGGTGAAAGCTCCAGGCATTCGCTTTTCGTCCTCTCAATTTCGTAAACAACACCCGTGGTGCGAGATGGCAGTGAATAGGATTTCCCTGTCAGAGGCTATATACGCGTTGAAATATGAAAGCATTTGTATAGGGAGAGCGAACTCTCTCCACTTTCGGGCGTACCAGAGCATTTGGCGGCTGATACATACTACTTATATCCACGGATATAGGTAGTACATATGACAATATTGTTTAGAAAGACAATGAAACTTTTATTATCATACTTATTTAGAACAAAGAATATAATCTGTTCAACGTAGATTTTTCACAAGACAACATGAACATATTGAATTATGTAATAACTAATGGACATTTCTCGATTCAGGATACACCTTAATGAGTAATTATCAAGGCAAACTATTGACTACTTACTTGAATATTGACGAATTAATGCACATCGAATACAACAGAACACATTGAGTATAACTGAGATGAATACTATAATAATTGCACCAATAATTAATACTTCACGTGTTAAAGCAGCTAGAAATAATAAAAAGAAGAGATGAATTTTCATTAGAGTAAAGCTCTAGTAATTTTACAAAGAAATATATAAAAGTTATAGAGATTAAGCGTTCTCACATGAGACCGATAGGTCCTGGGTTCGAATCTCATGAGGCGGAATCGTGGATGCGCATTCACACTGAGTAGTCTTACAATAGGACGAAACGGCCGTCCATTGCTTCCAGGTTTTCCATGATGCTCTAGTTTCAGTTGACTCATGATCTCAACTACTGAAATATATATACTGGTAATGTGGTAATCATTAATCATGAGTCATACAAAAAGTACTTGCTCCAGGTATACTTTCAAGGAAGTTAAAAAACGTCGGCTATTACAACTGGAATATTTACAAACATATCATTGCTAAACTTCAGAGAATGGACGATTGTGAAAAGTAGTCTTGTATTTATGTTAAATGGTTGGACCAAACTAGAAAAAAGATTTGAATATAGATTTCATACTAGATGTATCCATGATGTTTCTGTTAAAATTTATGGCTCTGTGCCGCTACAAATATATGAAGTAAAAGTACCGCCAATTAGAGAACAATGATACATCGACAGAACCAATGACGCATTAGACCCGTACTAGCGGTCTCGAGTTCTTACCGGTCCTGGATGTTGAGTCCAGAACACCAACCTCAACCTCTGCGTAATGAGTCATATATTCCAAACATACTCGGTTTATATACTAATCAGACAGACCACATCGTACCATGAAATGGAAAATAACATTTGTACAAGATTTGGCCAAATGTGGCTGTGGATGAGGGAAATAGTAATTGATAGAAAGGGCATAATTTAAGAATGGTTAATCGTATAATAACAGTTCATAGGTCAAAATACAATTCATAATAATAGGGAGATGAATATGTATAGTTTAGTTATTGAAGATTATTCCATAAATAGATTTCAACAGTTACTATTCATTATTCTCATAGGGATATAACAGTTTCAGAAGTCTTTTTGATGTGCTTCACTGTCAACCACTAGTTCCAGTAGATTAAACTTATCCGTGGGAATAATATTATGGGATTTATTCAAGGGATTCGTATTGCAACATAGACTGATTATCAGTATAGGTTTGTGGAGATTGTTGAGTTCTTATTGAGATCATGAACCGATCAAAGTTAAAACACCATTAAAAACCTTAAACCACTAGATAATCATTTCATTCTAGTATGAAACCACTCATCAGTGTGCATTCACTATCCTAAATATGGGAATCGGACCCAGAATCTTCAGTCTTACGCGAACACTTTACGTCTAGATCACTGATCCGGCGACCAATGGTGTTAATGTCTGACTTCAACTAATCCATGATATTGCGCGACAATCTTCTATTGCTTTCGATGGGTAACTGACCCACACCTAACACAGTTCAACTCTGCTAGTCACGGCTTCTCACTAGAACTCCGAAAATTACTTATTGACACTAATCACTAATGAGCATATGAAAATTATCAGTACAGCGAAATATCATGGATTGATTGAAGTGAAACATTAGACTGTTGGATGCCGGACTGGTGGTCTAGACATCATGCGTTCGCGCTCGAGACCGACGGTCTTGGGTTTGAGTCCCGCAAGAGGGAGAGAGGAGAATTTTTCACTTTTCTACTATCTACTATTCGTTCAACACATTTGGTGAGTTGAAGAGAATGATAGTGACTGGTTGTTGTCGAGTTTTGGCATGGAAATATATTTACGTTCTAATCAGGGGAATCATGTGTTCTTAATTTGAGTTCTGTTGAACACTAGTAGAATATAGACATTGGGAAAGAATCCAGTGTAGATATTTTGTCTAAGATAAATTCACATTCCATCTGTGTAAAAACGTAGGAAACTTTAAGTGTTATCACCATTTCACTGAGTGTATGTTATTATCAAATCACTAAAGTAAGATCAAGTAGATCATATTCACAATTTCCATTCTACAATCACTGTCTATTGTTATCTGTAGTAATACCCTATTCATCCTTATATTGATTGAATTTGATTAGTTAAAGCCTCTGATTAGTTTTATTGTGTTGAATAGTCATTATGATCTTTATTGTTATTCATCATCAATAAGGTTAGTAACTAATAAGAACATGAATTTATTTACTAACGAATAACCTAATTATTTGACTAAACAATAAAGTAAAACATAGTTCATTACTATTTTACAGTATTAGTCATATGGTAGATGATGATGATGATCGGTGCCGAAAACAAACAAGTAGTTAAACAGTAAACATGAAAAGTTATTCACTTTTATTTAATTAGTATTGTATAATAATTATATTACTTGTAGATAGAACTATACTATTAAAACTACTTATTAGTAGTATAATAAAATTAACGTATTTATATATTTCAACAGTTGAGATTATAGTAATTTCAACGGTTGAGATCATGAGCCAATTGAAGCTAGACCACTATGAAAACCTGGAAGCATTGGACGGTAGATTCGTCCTATTGTGAGACTCCTCAGCAGTGGAGTTCAACCGGGTCAGTTGTGAGGTAGTAACTCACTGATGACAGTAGAGCATGTGTCGCTCAATTTCGTCGATTAGTTGAAGTTAGACATTAACACAGTAGGATGCATACCAGCTCAGTGGTCTAGTTGGTTGAGCGCCTGGCGCGGGACCGATAGGTCCTGAGTTTTAATCCAGCGAGGTGGGGTCTTGGATGCGCACTGCTGAGGAGTCTCGCAATGGGAAGAAACAGCCGTCTAGTGCTTCAGGGTTTTCAAAGGTGGTCTAGCTTCAATTGAATCATGATCTCGACTGTTGAAATTACTACAATCTCCACAAAAAACCCCTTCTGATAATAATTATATGTTTTCAGAAAGGGGTTTTATGGATATTTTAGTGATTTATTAGTTGAGTTCATGAATCGGTTGATGTTAGATCACCACTGAAAATCTGAAAGCACTGGTTTATTCCTATTATAGGACATTTCAACAGTGTGCATCCACGATCCCGTTCTAAGCATTCGAACCCAGGACCTTCGGTCTGACGAACGAACGCCTAACCTTTAGACCATTATTCTCACTTATATATATCAGAACGGTCTGTAGGTTAGAATTGATATTATGATATAATTTGTTAGCTATGAAAATACCATGAAGTGGTTCCCCACTACACTTAATACTGAATATCACTTGATTTGACTCCTTACAGATCATAAGTAAAAGTTTGATTAGAAGTTGGAGCTTTTAGAATCCAATTACTTGATTTATTTTGAGCTTCTGCTGACCATAATAAATTAATGGCGTTAGTTAAACACTAATGTATTAGGTTCAATGGTTTAATTTGTTTTTAGCAAGATTTTTTTCTACAGGATGGGCTTATCGACCTCACATCCAAACCTCCTCATTTACCCTGACTTGGAACCGGCAATATGCTTAGAATGAACCTCAATATAGTCCTACTATATGGAGCTGGAATGTGGAGAACGGTTACAACCATCATCAATTAGGTACAAGTATTTAGAAACAATTGTCTACGTAAGAAACTGAATGTCTGCTGGTCGAATACCATTAGCAAAGGCCTACTGTGGGAGAGAACAAACCACCTTCCAGCTGAAAAGGAAATTAGGAAAAGACGATGGAAATGGATAGGACATACATTAGGAAATCATCAAACTGCATCAGGAGGCAAGCACTATCTTGGACTCGTGAAAGGAAACGGAAAAGTAGAAGGCCAAAGAACACACTACTTCTGGAATTGAAAGCAGACATGTCAGAGATGAATAGTAACTAGAAACAAATGGAAATGATTTTCCAGGACAGAGCTGTATAATGAATGCTAGTAAGTAGCCTATGCACTTTCACGAGGAATAACAGGCATAAATCAGTCAATCAATAAAACAATTTCAGTAGACAATAAGAATGAAATAAAAGTAAAATATCACTAGTTAGTAACTAATTTAAATGAATAAATCAATAGAACATGTTTTTCCATTGTACTACTATAGAAGAAAAACAAAAAGCCCATTCAAATTTGTACCATTTTGTTGTTTACACATATACTAACTCTTATTCATCTCCCATTCATTTGTTTATAATGAAACGATCTTCTTATTGTCTATACTACTATACTACTTAGTTAGACTATTACTTATTAGAACAACCAAATATCAATATGATCAATGTTTACCATAACCGAGTCATTTCTTATTACAAAAGAATACTATACCGTTAACAATTCTTTCTTCCCCCCCCCTCCCAATTTATAAATGTCTCTATGGTACATGTATTCATATATCAATGTATATGTACATAAATAGAAAACATGTATTCATCTACCGTTTATACAATATTCATTGAAGATTTCCACAAGCATCAGAAGTACATTCTATATGGTATCCATATATATAGAATAAGGAGATATGTTTATGTATAGAAAGAGATGATCTTATAAGTTAGTCATGAATTTCCACCTCCACCCCCATCCCACCACTAACCCCACCCCCGGAAAAAGTACCCAACATACATAGATAGATAACACATCCACGTAAAATGAATAGTAATAGAAAACAATTGTATATTCTTTATGGTAGTTACATTGTTCACAAACTAAAAAGGAAACCATTAGAAAAACCGGGAGAAAACTGCAGGAAACCGAAAAAAATCAGCTCACAAATTTTAAGGGTAACTCACTCCATATCTAACCTTCCTTATTTAACTGAGCTCGAGATGAAGAATGCTACTGAGTGGCATATTCTCCTTTATGAGGGGTAACAAGCGTAAGTATAGTAAGTAAGTAAGTAAGTAAGTAAGTAAGTAAGTAAGTAAGTAAGTAAGTAAGTAAGTAAGTAAGTAAGTAGTAAGTAAGTAAGTAAGTAAGTAAGTAAGTAAGTAAGTAAGTAAGTAAGTAAGTAAGTAAGTAAGTAAGTAAGTAAGTAAGTAAGTAAGTAAGTAAGTAAGTAAGTAAGTAAGTAAGTACTAGTAAGTAAGTAAGTAAGTAAGTAAGTAAGTAAGTAAGTAAGTAAGTAAGTAAGTAAGTAAGTAAGTAAGTAAGTAAGAGTT